TTTCATCTGACGCTTGACTGGCACACGAACTCGCGACTTGCGCGCCCGCGCCCGCCATGCCTCTGCGGTGGGAAGGCCAACGACGGCAGCACCATGGCGCTGTGAACTGCGAAATGCGGTTATGCCTGTCCCTTCGCAAGGCAAGACCTCATGCGCGGTGGGCCACCGTCTCTAGCTCGACGCGTTGGTGGCGAGACTGCCTGGCCCAGGTTCGCGGCATTGTAGGTCGTCTTTCCGTCTGCCAGCGCGGTGAGAAATTCAATCTAAGAGGCCTCAGCCGGCGAGAAAAGGGACGCGCGGAGCAGCGCGCGAACGCGCGCCGCGGCGCTCTCGCTCCAGTCGGAGACCCAGCCATCTTCAGTTGCGTCGTTGCTGGCGTCGGTACTCGCACGTGCCAACTGACCTGAGATCTCGCCTGGACCGTCGAAGTCGGACGCAACCCCGCGCACTCCAATGGGCGTCTTTGCCTTGCGAACCGCGTCGTTGCAACGCATGTAAATTGAGTCGAGATTATCGGGCCGACGAATGATCCGGGGCCAAGCGCGCCGGGCACCTGGCGAAGCCTGCGACACGAGCGCAGCGCACCTGGCCGAGAAGCAACCAGTGGCCCAGTGCCAGGAGGCCCGGCGCATCAAGCCTTCAGGACACGCGCGCATCAGGCTCGCCCCTTGCACTGTCGTCGCGAAGACGTGGAACGACGTCTTGGAGAGCGACTTGTCGCGGGGCTCTTGCACGGGCCCTTGTCGGCAGAGCCTGATTGCGACCAGTCTCGCGCCCGCTGCGAGCTCGCGACTACCCCCACTGCGCGGCCCCATTTCCTCGCCAGGGCCATAGCGACACAAGGTACACTGCATCTCCGACACGTAAACAATAGCTGGTGACATTGCTCTCGGGCGCGATGGCAATGACCTCCTTGGTAAATGTGGCCAGGCGGCATCATGATCCAAATCAACTGGCACCCACGTCGGGCGCTTTCACTGAGGCGAGCGGAGGAGCATGGAGAGATTTCGATCGCGGGACACAGCGCTCGCATCTGCCATCGTCGCTGCCAATGAGCTCGAGCGACCGAAGGTGCGAGCCCCATCGCCAGAGCGCGGCTGAGACGCGACGCTCTCATTCCCCGGCAACGCGAGCCGGGGCGCCCCCTGAGAGGACCGCAACTCACTGAGAGTCGAGGGTCGAAGGCTGCTCAGCCTCCAAGAAAGAAGCGGCAGCCGCCCGCGTCGAGTCCTCCGTCTCCGTCTCAATCTCGTCGGTGCGGGCGCGCAACTGCACGCTGCGGTCGGGCGCGCCGTCTGGTGATTGCGCGGCCTTCTCGAAGTCGTCGATGACCATCACTAGGTGTCCGCTCGGAGCCTCCTGCAGAAGGATGCGGGCGGCGCCCGCAAGCCAATAGATCTGGGTGTCGCTACCACCTGGCAAGGCCAGCACGCGTTAGCCCATGTCCAAGATGGCGCGCATGGACCCCGCGCTGCGTAGAGCGCGTGGGCCAGGCAGGACGCTGCCCGATCCACTGACACTGGTCGCAGCGACGTTCGGGATAATAGCTCGGCCCTGATCATCCGCGACGGCAGCGGGCGTGCTCGCATAATAAATGCACTCTTGAATCCCGGTGCTAACTCCTGAGACGCTCACGGACTTGCCCATGAAAAGCGGCTGCGGCCGGTGCCCTGCCTCCACGGCCCGGCGGCGCAGTTGGCGCGCGAGCGTCTCTCCCGCGAGATTTGCCCAGTCAGCTGGGCCCACGACGACACCGGGCTCGCCGGCAAACCGCCGGGCGCAACTGCAGCGCACCTGAGCGGCTCACTCGCTTCCCGGCCCAACGGCGGGCCACCCATGGGAAGCGCGTCGGCCCCGTCGTCTTGCGGCGAGCCATCTGGCGACGGCTGTCCCCAGGGGGACGCTGGAGTACCGAATGTGATGTCTCCTACTGGTGCGTCTCGCGGTGCGACCAGCACCCCGTCGACTTCGGGCGCCACGCGCACTTCGGACGCCACGCGGGGCGCGGCGCGAACTTGGGCGCGCGCGACCTCGCGCGCCACCACGCGTAGCCTGCACGCTGGGAAGCGCGAGAGAGGGCGCTCGAGCCTGGTCGACGCGAAATGCTTCTCCCACTGCTCGCAACCGGGCATTCAGCGGCCGGGGCGTCGGCACAGCCCCGACGGACACGGCGGGCACATTGAAGGGCGACTGCGAGGGCTAAGCCGACGCGCCAGCCCAGCCAGATGCCGCGCATCTCATCGGCGCCTACTGCATCCCTGTGACGCGGGCACGTCGCCGATCCACCCGAACGCCGCGTTCGGTCTCCAATCCGGCCGCAGAAGACGCCGGATGGATATCTAAGAGGCCAAGTCGCGCGTGGCGCTGGCCCCGGTCGCCACGGTCGGCACTTCAGCCAGGTGCTCATATCCGCGGCGTCGCAGGCCGTCTAACAGGGCAGCCCGTGCCAGCTGGCCGTGCTGGAGACGCGCGAGGTGACCGAAGTCGCCGACGCGTGGGATCGCGGCGCCCCGGTTGGGCACCATTGCCTTTTCCTTTGCCTTCCCTGGAGAAGATGTCGCTGATCTGTTCGACGCGTCCACGCAGCTCGCGGGCAGGGCGGCGCGCGCGCCTGCGCCGCCGACACTTCGCTGACCCCATCTGCCGAAACCACCGAGCATCTATTTTGGCGGGGCTGAGACCTGGGAACTCCGAGGCTCGGAAAATTGACCTCTCCGCCTGGACCCGAGCTAGTGTCTGACGAGGTTCCACTGACGCAATCGGCGCCGTCCGCGGGTGCCCACGGGGCGGCGGGACACGCGGCCCGCGGCGGCGCGGCGCTCTGCGACGGGCCGGCGGCGCACGTCATAGCACCTCGCCTCCGGCACCGCGAAGCTCCGCGGCGCCGGCTGCCCCGGGGTCGAAACCCTGAGTGCGCCGAAGGCACGTGGAAGGTGCGTCTCGACTGTCGTCGTTGGTCCTGCCCACGACGCATCCGAAAGACGGCGGCGAACGCAGGGCGGCGACGATGTCATTTAGCGCATTCTCCACGATGCGACCCACGCGCCCGAGCATAGTCGCGAGACTGTCGAACTCAGGCCCCGCGGTTGGGCATCGGTTTCGGCAGGGCTGGAGCAGCGCCATGAATCGGCTAGCTGCGACACCGACCGCTCGGAGGAACAGACAGCTGCAGCCTTCCCAAGACATCGCAGCTCCACCGTTGTGAGCAGTTCGGAACCGCAGCGTGGAAAACCGCGAGAGACGCGCGTCGGCGGTTTCGCTGCGGCGCCCCGAGATCTCGGGTAGCCTGGAGGCGCGACTCCACGCCCAGTGGACCGAACTGAATGGCTAAGTTCACGACGAGGTAAGTCACGACGTCCCCACGCTGGCCGTTGACCACGCCTCCCTCAGTCATCTCCGCGACGTTCCTTGAGCGTGTGAGTTCGCGAGCGGCTCCACCGAGGTTGAGGAGAACGGCTGCGCATTGAATTTTGGGGCGCGGCCCATGTCGGTGGCGAGCACGTTCCAACCGAACAAGCCCTATACCCCGTGACGGAATAGGCACACAGACTCGCGCTCGGGTGACCACGAGGGCGGGTGGCGAGAAGGGATCCCGCCACGACCGCCAACGCCGCCTGGTGGGCTGCCCGCACCAGGCATTATGCAGGTGAGCCAGAGAAGGGCGACCAGCAAGAACATGAGGATGCTGCCACACAACGTCAAGATGAGGATCCTCCTCGATAAGACTCCACCACGATGAGAGCTGCGGAAGCGCCTTGGGACTCGGGCCTGCGCAGCGGCGAACGCCATGCCGAAATTGGGGGCAGCCGTAGTAGTGTGTCAATTCTGGTCGAAGTCAAAGATGGCGAGACTGGTGCGTTGATAATCAATGCGCCACCCAGGTTGCGCGACGTGCTCGCCAGGACGGCGTGCACTGTCGCGCACATTACGAAGCACGGTACTAGCCCAGGGAGCCTCGCTGTCATGTTCGACGCAAAGCTGCGGCCAGTACCCGTGAGGCGTTGTGGGTCGTAGGAACGACGTGGCGTTCCCGTGGGCGGTTCGCTCCACATCGCGTCGCATGCAGCTGCTTTCTCCCTCGCAGCCGGATCTGCACAGATACTCGAACGATGTCGGTTGTCTGTGCGCGTCCGGGGCGAATTACCCATAGGTTTTGCAGAACAACCACCTGCAGAATCGCCATAAACACAGGCGGCTTAGGGGTTGGAGTGTGGTACCAATGCGGCGACGAAGAGACATGCGAATGCGCGTCCAAATCGCACTCTGCGCACGTTCCGTGGATCGCGAGCTGGGATCGCTCCCAACTCCGCTAACAACTAGAATTGCGCGGGTTGGAAACGAGAGAAAGCATTGCGGCAACAAGTGTAGATAGCTGACATTTTACTCATCAATATATGTTTAGTACGCCCCGGCGCTGAAGCCAAACGGCGGCAGGACATTCGATTTGACTGGGACTGGCGGACCCCGGGCCGAGGCAGACAAACAGAGAGAGAGAGACAGGAAGGGATGGGGGGAGAGAGAGAGAGAGAGAGTAAGTGAGAGATAAAGAGAGAGCGAGCGACAGAGAGAAAGCGGGAAGAGACAGACAGACAAACAAACAGACAAACAGACACACACAAATAGACAGGTAGGAAGACAGTCAAACAGACAGACAGATAGACAGACAGACAGACAGACACAGACAGGCAGGCAGACAGATAGACAGACAGACAGACACACGGACAGACAGACAGACAGACAGACAGACCGACAGGCAGGCAGACAGGCAGGCAGGCAGGCGGGCAGGACAGAGAGGGAGACCGAGAAAGGGAGACGGAGAGGAGGATGGAGAGAGAGAGAGAGAGAGAAAAAAAAAAAAAAGATATATAGGGAGAGAGAGAGAGAGAGGAGAGGGGGGAAAACAAACAGGACGAGACACACAGAGAGAGAGAGAGAATTAGGAGATTGGGAAGACCGGGGACTTCACGCGCCGGGTGGCGCCGAGAGTGCGGCGGCGGATCCTTGGCCTCCACGAGCGCACCCTCGGCCTTGGCCTTCTCCTCGGATTTGGTGACGATCTCGGTGTTCTTCGCGGCCACCGAGTCCTTCGTCTCCTCTCTGGGCCGGCGATGCGCGGACAAACGTAAGAAGGAGGCAACTCATGGGAGGTCTTCGCAAAAACGCTGAAGGGCTTCTAAGCCCGATGAGGGGGCCAGCAAGACTGAACGGATCAAGCAAGATTGAGCGGAACCGAGCCAGACTAAGCGGGACTAGGCTGGATTGAGCCAGTTTCGACTACAGATGTACCAGCGCCGATGCGAAATTCAACAGCCTCCTCCTCCTCCTCCTCCTCCTCCTCCCCCTCCTCACTTGACTACCCCTCGGCATCCCCCTGGCCTCCGCGCCGCCCAGACAAAGGCCGCCCGGATGTACCGACTCCCGCCGGCAGGCATACCTATACCTATACGACCACCCTTCGGATGATGAGGTTGTGGGGGGGGGGAGGGGGGGAACCAATATCTGACTCAATCGATCTCATCATCGATCTCACTCAACGGGACACCACGGGAAACCACTGGACACCACGCGACACCGCGGGACACCTCTCGATCTCACTATCGGTCTCACTATCGATCTCACTCAACGGGACACCATAGGACACCACGGGACACCATGGGACACCTCGGGACGCCACATCGATCTCACTATCATTCTCGCTATCGATCTCACTCTCGATCTCACTGAACGGGACACCACGGGACGCCGCGGGATACCACGGGACACCACGGAACATCTGTCGATCTCACTATCGATCTCACTCTCGATCTCACTGAACGGGACACCATAGGACACCACGGGACACCTCGGGACACCACATCGATCTCACTATCAATCTCGCTATCGATCTCACTATCGATCTCACTCAACGGGACACCACGGGACACCTCGGGAAACCTGTCGATCTCACTATCGATCTCACTATCAATCACACTTTTTGGGACCCCACGGGACATTATGGGACACCTCGGGGCACCACATCGATCTCAATATCGATCTCACTATCGATCTCACTATCGATCTCACTTAACGGGACACCACGGGATACCGCGGGACATCACGGGACACCGCGGGACACCGCGAGCCACCGCCGGACGGTCGGACGGGCGGGCGGGGGAGAATCATTTGTCTTGACTTCGCCCTGGCAACGGCGGACACCACGGGACACCACGGGACACCGCGGGACACCGCGAGCCACCGCCGGACGGACGGACGGGCGGGCGGGGGAGAATGACTTCGCCCTAACAACGGCGGACACCACGGGACACCACGGGACACCACGGGACACCACGGGACACCGCGGGACACCGCGAGCCACCGCGGGACGGATGGACAGGCGGGCGGGGGAGAATCATGTGTCTTGACTTCGCCCTAGCAACGGCGGGTTCATTCCTCTCGCGCGCCCACGCAGCTTCGCCTCGCCCGCACGCACGACACGAACGAAACAAAACGATGTCCCTGGTGGGGCTCTCCGTTCCACTGCGATCTCACCCCCCAACCTCCGACCACCGAATCCTCACTCTTAACGCAACTGCGGGGTGCGACATCAACAATCTGGGCACATTGAAGCCCGTCGTCTGCCCTCCTCCCTCCTTCCTTCCTCCTCCGGTGCTCCGCGCCCATTCTCCCCTGGAGGCCTGCTAAATGGGGTCCGAGTTGATGGGGTCTGAATATCGTGCCACATCGCCGATGCATCGCCGGTACATTGGCGACGTCGGCGGTGCATCGGCGCCGTCGGCGTGAAAAAGATCGGGTTCCGCATCGAGCCGCATCGGCGATGCATCGGCCAAGTCAAGACGGAATAAGCCCCGCCGACTCCGATCCCATTTCAGCCGAGCCCATCTTGGGGACCTCAAGCCCCCACCGCAGGCCAGCAGAACCGGGGGGCCTTCGTGAAGGCCTCGTAGGCCTTCTGGGCCTCCTGCTCGTCGCGGCGGGTCATATCCTCCATGTTCTTGGCGTCCTGCGGGCGGCGCGGGGGGAGCCCGACGTCACAGACGGGCTGGGGAGGAGAGGGGGCCTCGAGGCTGGCACCTGAACAAATATCGACGGCCATCTTTGCCGAGGGAGTGTGGAGTACCGACTTCGGTGTGGGTGGTGATACCCAGGCCTCTGAGAAGCACGAGTGTTGCCACCATCACCAAAGTTGGGGTCATCCTCGGTCGGTGCAAGATGCTGTTGGTGACGCGCCGAGAGGGGAAGGCAGAGGGGGCGGCCCTTCTCAGAAGGCTTTCCGAAGCCATAGTGGGCTTTTTAACAAAGCCTGAAAATTCAAAAAAAACTAATCCCGCCAGATTTTGAGAAGGCCTGGGCAACGTGAGAGGAAAATCGACTCACGTGAGAAGGTGAAACATCAAACTAAAATCAACAACACATGACACATCGCCAATACATCGGCGACAGACCCCCGAAGGCAAATCTCGGTCCTGGGCAAGGTGGGCTATGAGCGCCGAGAGCCTATCGGCGATGAATGGGCGATTGGGGGTCGATGCGTTCCCCAAGGGGGATACAGTTGGCGGCGCGCCAAGGGGGAAGGCAGATGGCACCAGCTTTCCGAAAAGTTCAGAAGCCCCCTAGTCTTCGGAAAAACTGCCTGGGTGTTCCTAAAGCCACACAGGGCTACTCGGAATGCCCGAGGACTTCTGAGAATACACGCCGCATTATGAAAAGGCCTGCCCCCTCTCACCACCACCGCTCGGCGCACCGCCGAGAGAGAGAGAGACGGGAGGTTAGAGGAGAGGACAAAAAAAAACCTGGACGCAACTAATAAGAGGTCTTCGCAAAAACGAACGAGGACCATTTCACCCCGATTGGGGACCATGTCGCTGAAATTGGAGCTTTGTTGGAGCTTCGTCGGGGTCTTGTTCGGGCGTTGTGTGAGTTGTGTTTCTGGGGCCTTTCCCACCGCATGCACTCTGCACTTTTCTCCCGCCGCCGCTCGCCAGACCAGCACGGCCATTCATGGCCCTGATCTCGGCGGCCCCCGCCCGTAGACGGCCCGCAATTCTGCGAACCAGGACATCAAATCCAACCGTCACGCTGTGATAGCACAAAACTTTCTGGAAAATATATCAAAACCACCGAAAATGCCGGTCGGGCGGGCGGGCGTCCTCATCATCATCATCGAATCGACTCGAATAGCTCCACGGGAGGCGTCAGAGCGGGACTACAAAACTCGCAGGGCCTCGGACCATCGCGGATCGCGAGCAGGATAAAACGACACACGGGGCCGACCAGGCCCCTCGGGCGCAAGGCCCGCGCTGCCCCCATGCGAGGCGGCCTGCCGAGGCGGCACGCAGCCTGGCAGGTGCCCCCCGCTTTGGAGATCCACTCTGGAACCTCGGCCGCTCGTCCCCCCCCCACACACACACACACACACACACGCACGCACGCACGCACGCACGCACGCACACGCACACGCACACGCACACGCACACGCACACACACACACACACACA